AGACTATAAGATAGTAAAAATCAAGGAAATTTACCATGGAGTAGAAAATGTATTGCCTGTCCTTTAGTACTGGGGTAGAGTAACTAGAGCCCTGCGCGAATACAAAATTATGCATATGCATCCACCAGGCTCAACTCATCATCCAATCTGCAATCTGTGAACTGGATTTTATTTGCATCCTCACAGAAAACCACCTGGAGGGACAGGTGGAGGGAGAAAAGTTGAGCAAGGACGGGGCAGAATTGTGCAGGTTGCCAGATTCTTCTGGTTTTACTACAGGTATTACAAAAGTGACATGCATTTAAAGCAAGGGCATGTAATGTGAGGTGTGTGCTGATTGTACATAACACTGTGATTGCCATGTCCTCCCTGTACAATCAAAGGGCTTCTATAGTTCAATCAGCATGCCCTGAAAATTCTAGGTAACCAGTGCAGTTAGCAAAATTACCCTACACCAGAAGACTATCTTGGTTACAACAATCTTGTGGCTCACTTAGATGGAAGGCCACCTACGCCCCACTCACTAACCTAGATTGCCCCTCACTGAAATAAATGGATGAGATGTTATCCACTTGCCACCCATTCTCTGGTGTTAACATTTTACAAATAATTAAAAAAATTATCAGATTAGATTTAGTCAAAATTTTAAGTGATATAACATGAAACTTTTTCGAAGCAGTTAGGTAAGTCTGCTAAAATATAGTTAGATTTAAAACAAGAAAGAAAACATTTTTGTGAACAAGAGTTCTGCTATTAGAAATCCATCATCAAAACACTATGAAACTATCAGTGAAGGACTATTTTATATTAGAATCATAGAATTATAGGGCTGGAAGAGACCTCAGGAGGTGATCGAGTCCAGCTCCCTGCCCAAAGCAGGACCAATCCCAACTAAATCAACTCAGCCAGAGCTTTGTTAAGCCGAGACTTAAAAACCTCTAGGGATGGAGATTCCGCCACCTCCCTAGATAACTCATTCCAGTACTTCACCACCCTCCTCGTTAAATAGTTTTTCCTAATATCCAACCTAGACCTCCCGCACTGTAACTTGAGACCACTGCTCCTTGTTCTGCCATCTGTCACTACTGAGAACAGCCTCTTTCCATCCTCTTTGGAACCCCCTTCAGGAAGTTGAAGGCTGCTATCAAATCTTCACTCTTCTCTTCTGCAGACTAAATAAGCCCAAATCCCTCAGTCTCTCCTCATAGGTCATGTGCTCCGGCCACCTAATCATTTTGGTTGCCCTCCATTTGGGCCCTCTCCAATGTATCCACATCCTTTCTATAGTAGAGGGCCTAGAACTGGACACAATACTCCAAATGGGGCCTCACCAGAGCCGAATAAAGGGGAATAATCACTTCTCTAGATCCACTGGCAATGCTCCTCCTAATGCAACCTAATATTCCATTTGCCTTCTTGGCCACAAGGGCACACTGTTGACTCATATCCAGCTTCGCATCTACTGTAATCCATCTTTACTGCAGAACTGCTACTTAGCCATTTGGTCCCCAGCCTGTAACAATGTTTGGGATTCTTCCGTCCCAAGTTCAGGACTCTACACTTGTCCTTGTTGAACCTCATCAGATTTCTTTTGGCCCAATCCTCTAATCTTTCTAGGTCACTCTGGACCCTATCTCTGCCCTCTCCCTCTATCTTAGTGTCTGCCTCTTCCCCCAGCTTAGTGTTATCCACAAACTTGCTGAGGGTGCAATCCATCCCCTCATCCAGGTCATTAGTAAAGATGTTGAACAAAACTGTCCCTAGAACTGATTCTTGGGGTACTCCTCTAGAAACAGGCCGTTGATCACTATCCATTGGGCCCGACAATCTAGCCAGCTTTCTATCCATCTTACAGTCCATTTATCCAATCCATACTTCCTTAACTTGCTGGCAAGAATATTGTGAGAGACCATATCAAAAGCTTTGGTAAAGTCAAAGTATATCACATTCACCGACTTTCCCATATCCACAGACCCAGTTACCTCATCATAGAAGCTAATCAGATTGGTCAGGCATGACTTGCCCTTGGTGAATCCATGTTGACTATTCCTGATGACTTTCCCCTTTTCTAAGTGCATCAGAATTGATTCCTTGAGGAACCCCTCCATGATTTTTCCAGGTACTGAGGTAAGGCTGATTGGTCTGTAGTACCCTGGACAGTCCTTCTTCCCTTTTTAAAAGATGGGCACTACATTTGCCTTTTTCCAATCATCTGGGATCTCTCCTGATATCCATGAGTTTTCAAAGATAATGGCCAAAGGCTCTGCAATGATATTTGCCAATTCCCTCAGAACTTTCAGATGCATTCAATCCAGACCCATGGATTTGTATATGTCTAGCTTTTCTAAATGGTTCTTAACCTGTTTTTTCTCCACCAAGGGATGCCCACCTCCTTCCCATACTGTGTTACCTAGTGCAGTAGTCTTGGAACTAGCTGACCTTGTCTGTGAAAAGAGAGGCAAAGAAAGCACTGAGTACTTCAGCTTTTCCCACATCATCTGTCACTAGGTTATATCCCTCATCCAGTAAGGGTGCCACACTCTCTCTGATCACCCTCTTACTGTTAACATGCCTCTAGAAACCTTTCTTGTTACCTTTTACATCCCAT